GGGGGGGGGGGGGGGGGGGGGTACAAGAGTGGACAAAACTCGGAGCCCCGGCCCAGATCCTGATTGATCGCGGCGGCCTCACCACCCCTCTCTCGACCATGACAATCGGTGGCTGGGGTCTGCATCACACAGGGTTTCTCGACACGACGGCAATTTACTTCATTGTTGATTGGGGTCTCCGGGCTTCGCGAACGATTTCCTAGACTATCGGTGATTGGTTGGGGGTCATCTTCTCATCTCACCATGCCGGCAGCAGCGCCTATGACGACGGTGCAGTCCTTGCAGCCCATCACGGTGGCGAACCTCACGGCCGACAGGACGTAGACGTACGACTCCTGGCAGCAGTTTACCTGCAGGTCTCTGTTTTTCCCACACGCGTCCAGACACAGGCAAAAACAAGCAATAAAATCGGGTCGGTTTAGCTCACGCCGCACGCAGAGCGTCAGCCCCCCCCCCCCCCCCCCCCCCCCCCCCCCCNACCCAGGAGTCATGACCGCACAAGGAACAGGAACTAGTCTGCTCCCCCCCAGTCAAGGACCAACATGCCAAGGCCGACCAACCCCGCATCGACCATCATCCAAAACAATAGAGCAAACTCCCAGCCGTTCCCCATCCATCACCAACCAAGACGACCCCCACCAACTACATTTGAAGCTCCATGCTTATCTATCGTCGACCATATCTTAGACCCTTAACCCTACCGGACTTCCTACGCATAGGAAATTCAGTTTATTACGACAAAAATATCAGGGAGGGGATCGGCAGACTCTATCCCTAACCCCAATCCCAACTTAAGCCGATTCTACTTCGTATCTAGGATGTTTGCTTGGTCGGGAAGACCTGCGTTGACCACTGCCCCCCCCCCACAACCCATCATCAACAATCACACCAACCGCGAGGGCGCCGGAGGCGTCGACCAAAACACCAAAAAAGAAAAAAAAAGTAGTGCCAGAGGCAACGGCACTGTTTGCGACAGTGGTAGTTCGGGAGGTGTACCCCCCTATCCATCATAACCAGAAGAAAAAAAGAAAAAAATCTCACCGCAGTGGGCCGGAAGCGTCGGCGTTGTGGACGACGGTGGTGCGGGAGGCGCAGTTGACGAGGAGCGGGGCGCACGGCAGAGCAGGGACGGTGACCCCTCCACAAGCGTGCCCCCCCTGCTGCTCGCTGCCGACAGCGGCCCCTCCGCCCACAGGGACAGCCTGCGGGACGGGTGGCCCGTGGTACAATCACACGTCATGGAGTAAGACCGTGGTAAAATACCACAGTTGAATATATTCTGTTCGGTTCGTTGAGCGTCGATGGGCTGTTCGAGTCAAAAACACGCCAGCGTGTGTGAACTATTGAGCTTAGGGAACGTCAGTTGAGGGTCGCAGGGCTGTTCGAGTAAAGAACAGGCCAGCGTCTGTGAACCATTGAGCTTCGTAAACGTGAGTTGAGCGTCGCTGGGCTGGTCGAGTCAAAAACACGTCAGTGTGTCAACTTTTCAGCTTCGTAAACGTCATCACAGCTGGCAGCTGGTAGTCAGCTCCGCGGGCTGGTCCTGTTGCCTGGTTTTAGCTCCATCGTGCATCACCCCTTGCTGACATTGCTGTGCTCTTGTGAACCCACTCCGACTGGACACCTGCATACAGTATCATCACCGCATGCTGCTCGGGGAAGCGCAGAAATGCACCGGATACGGGCCCAGCTGACGTTATGGATTCATGGCGAATATAAAATTTGGCCTGGACTATTTTCATAGAGATGGATTATTTGGGTTAATGAAACTTACGAGTACAGTAGGGGGGAAGGATACAAGGCGGTGTGAACAAGGCGGTACACCCGATGTAAGGCGGCCGAAATTTGCGCCCAAAATTTCCTTGTTGCTTCTTGTTCGCCCTCTCTCTCACCTCGTCGGGGCTACCAAAAATCATCGAACACGTTTATATTTTTGTCCCAGGTATTGTTCCCCTTGTTCGTTCTCTCTCTTTCTCGCCTCGGGGCCGTGCTTCACATGAGAAAAAAAACTGTGCCAACAGTCCCATGTTGTTCTTCCACTTCGCGATTTAACCAACAAGATCATGTTTCCTTTTCATACCTCCCAGGTGTTGTTTTCCTTCGTTCGCTCTCTCGCCCCCCTCGGGGCCGTGCTTCAAACAAAAAAGAAAAAACCCTGATGTTGGTCCATGCTGTTCTTCGCCTCGCCATGCGACCATCAGCAACAGTTCTCTTTTTCATAGTTCCCAAGCTTATCTTGTTTCCCCTTCTCTCTCTCTCTCTCTCTCTCTCTCTCTCTCTCTCTCTCTCTCTGTCTCTATCTCTCTCTCTCTCTCTCTCTCTCTCTCTCTCTCTCGCTCACCTCGTCCGGACCGTGTCCCCCTGCGGCGGCGGTGGCGGCGGCGGAATCGGCCAGGAAGATGGCGGAAGGCGAAGGGGGAACCGGGTAAACCACATCGTTCACCGTTAGCGCGCCCATGAGGTACTGCGCCACCTCGGACACCGGCACGCGCTCCCTCTTCGTCCGCCTGTCAGCAACGAAACGAACAGAGAGAGGGGCAAGTAGGCTAAGCTTTGGCAACCAGCATATATATATGTATATATACCGTATATGACTCAATATAACACGCACCCTGGACCGATTTTCAAAGCCCGACTACTCCACGACGAAGAGGATGAACTAACGAAACGATACATTTTCGGAAAGCTGTCGACGAGATGGTTCCGACGCCGCCTTTTTCGGCGCTGTGACTCTTTCTGCTGTTGAGAAATCGAGCTGTAAAAATCGGTCAAGGGGGTGTGTTATCTTGTGCCATGTATGTACGGTACATCAATAACTCGTGTACACAGTTGACAACAATGACAAGGGTGAGCAAGCTTTGGCAAGCAGAACATGCATCAATACAAGGCCGTTTGGCGGCTGGCGCCGCCACGCGGAGAGAAGCGTTCCGCAAGAAGCTGGTTATCGGCGTTCGTTGTTGTTGGATGGCCGTCTCTTGTCGATGTACTCTTCATTCTTCATTGCGCTTTCTTGCGTGCGGTAGTCTGTTGCGACACCGAAGGGGTGCGAAGGGATGCGTCCCGCGCGGAGTCCACAAATTGAACACGCGCACAGGCGAGCGTCAAAAACCATGTAAACGAACGGCCGTAGGCCGTAGGCCGTAGGTTCGGAGGTGGGGGGCTCACTGATTGAATGAGGAGGAAACTTCACGGAGCCTTCAAAATGAAGAAATACGCTCGGACAGCATCGCACGGAGCAGTACTACAGTACACGAGGGATCTCAGCGACTTGCATCCGCTAAGCAAGCAGCAACCGCGTTCTGTCTCTCGCGTGGACCACATTTAGACGCGTACAAGCGAGATCCCAGAGAGCGGGATGAACGTGAACGTGTTCATTTTGCAGCATGCGAAATTCCGACGTGTCAGGGAGCAAGCAGACTATTGGCGCGTGAGCGCCGAAAGAAAGAGAGACTGGCCTAAAGACCTGTGAGAGACGCAGTTTAAAGAGATGTTGTATGCATGTGTGCGGTGGATGGGGCGCAGAGGAAAGCGCCAAAAGGTGTCTCCAGCGAGCGAGAAAAAGCGGGAAAACAGGAATGACGAAAGCGGAAACGAAAACGGGAATAAACAATTAACTCTTGTGGGACATGCGAGAGGGAGAGACAGGTTGCTGTTGTTCGAAGAAGAGCGGACAACAAACTGGTATTTGGCAGGGGAGAGAGGAGAGAGAGACTGGCACGACATAATGCGACGCGTGTGAAACGGAGAAAGGTTCCGCGCGACCGAGCCGGGTGTGATGAACGAGCCACACGCAACGAGAGAACATAAAGAGAGAAACGGTGAACGGAAAACAACAGCGAGCTCCAAGGATCTGGAACAGATGGGAATGAGAACATGGAGCCCTGTGATAGGGTCCTAGAACACCCGAAATGGAGGCCTCTCACAGCGTAGATCCAGACAAGACAGAGAGGGAAGCGACAGAGCGCCAGACCTCGTCCTTCGTGTGATCGGAGAGCCGTAATGTCATGCGTGCAGGGGAGGACAAAGCGACAGACGTCGTGTGATCGGATAGCCGGAAGGACGGGACTATGCAGTCAGCGTATATCTAGAAGAGATCGAATATATGTGCATACTGCCTGTGTTTGCTCGGAAGAACCCCCTGTTGTTATTGTTGTTCCTGTTGTCTTCACACAAAAAAAAACGTTCCGGTCTCCGCTCAGCACCTTCTAACGTCCGCACTGGTCCAACTGACGCGCACGCCTTCCGTGGACCCTGGACCCTCCGCATGAAGATATTGAATGGACCCAAACTGAATAAAAATGCACATTACAGCGTTTACAGGCAGCCACGCATGTATCGAGAAAGCACCACTACACGCTTCTCTTTTTTGTTCTGTTGGAAAGAACAGCGTGCCGTCGTGAATACACCCCAACGGAACACGAATAAACTACATGTGAGCGTAGGGCGACTGTAGAGGGAGTGTCTGCGCGGGGCACGAAAGGAGAGGGGAGCACCGAAAAGCTGTGGCAACAGGAACGAATCGCAAATATTCCCCGGAAAGAATCGGAGAGACAATAGACAGAGAGAGGGAGAGAGAGAAAAGGAGAGAGAGAAAGAAAGAAATAGAGCGAGAGAGACAAAACGAGAACTACAACTGCTACTGTGTACTGCTCTAGAAAGTGCAGCGTGTTATAAAGCTGAGGGAGCGTGATCAGAAAGGAATCACGAACGGACTACGGAAGGTGGTCTGTCTCTGAGCAGTCGACATCCGGCATACCGCTGTCCCCAGAGCGGCCCGCTGGAAATGTGGCGCTTAAAGAGTGGAGTGCTCCTGGCCGAACCATAACATGAATACGTTCTATACGCAAGATGGAGGGTGCTGGTAGGCAGTGGAGGGCGTTGCGTGCAGAGTACTAGGAGGTGGCGAGCGCGTGTGCGATGAAGAGAAAGAGCGAGCTGCGCAAGTTGCCGAAGTCGGAAAGGCGGAGAATCGGAGAACGCAGGCGGAGAATCTTGCAGATATCAGCAAGACGGCGAATTGAAACGCGCCGATGGAAGAAGCGGACAAATCCCTGACGGGCGCGTACTTGATGATGCGACGGTGGAACAAGCGGACAAATCCCTGAAGGGCGCGCACTTGATGCAGGATGTGGGATACAGACAAACAGCAGAGACCTCGCATCATCGCGATGGAGTGCGTGAGATCCAGACAGAGAGAGAAGTAACAGAGCGATAGACCTCGTGAAACGGGAAGACCCGCAAAGGAGTGCGTGAGTTCCAGACAGACAGCAAGCGATGAGACAGACCGACAGCCAATGGGTGATCGGAGAGGAAGCGGAAGCATCCAGTCTATCTGAAAGGACTCCGGTGTGTGGAATTTTAACCCGGCCTGTGAGCATGAAATGAAAAGCGAGCCGGGACATATGACAGAGGAATTGAGAGAGGTAGATAGCAAGACAGACAGACAGACGGACACGAAAGAGACAGGGCGAGAGATGCCCAAAAACCGAGAAGGTCGCATCGAGATGAGTGTGAGTTGGAGTGAACAAAGAGTGAAAATGGTGGTTTGTGAGGGCCCGCTAAAATGAAATACTGGTCTCCAGAGCCCGAGAAGTCGGGATGCAGGGCTGTCAGGGTACACAGATGTTCTCTCTTCGTCCGCCTGCCAACCACCAGAACAACAGCGCGAGGGGTAAGCAAGCTTTGGGAAGCACCACCTATCAATACTTCGTGTATACGTTGTTCTCTGTTTACGCACCTGTCAAAGACGCAAACAACAAAGAGAGGGGTAAGTAAGCTTTGGCAAGCAGCACTATTAATACTTTCGTGTGTCAAACGTTCTCTGTGTGTCCGCCTGCCAACGACGAAAACAACAGAGAGAGGGGTAAGCAAGCTTTGGCAAGTATATATCATACTTCGTGTACGTACAGAAATGTGTTTTGTTGGGCAGCATGCCAAACGCGAAGAGAGGGATGGGTAAAGTTCGTCAGAACGTACGTGGGATACATCTATTGCTCAGCATTTTCGGCATCAATATGGAGTACACGGACAAGAACGAAATGACACCGCAGAGACACGGCATTCACTCTCGCTGCTGCTGCCAGCACCTAGAATACAATCCAACCATCACAAAAGGTATCTAGGAGAGAGAAAGAACGAAGGAAACAATCAATCCATGTACGAAAGAGGTCGAGAGAAGAACGAGAAAACTGCAATTCCAAGCAATTCAATACAGGCAGACACAGAGAAAGAGAGAAGACAGCACTCACCCGCCCTGCCCACCCCACAGCGGGCACAGGTCGGCCAGGCTCACGCCCGGAGCCCTCTCCTCCTCTAGACTCGCTCCACCGGTCAGCAAGAACCCGAGCGACTCGAACTCCTCCCTGGTTGTGAATAGAGGTCAGGGTCGACGTACCGAGAGAGTCAGCCTGGGGGTCGGCAGACGATATCGTGCTTCCCGGTCAACAAGACCGCAAGCGATTCCAGCTAGTCCTCGTCATTAAAAAAGAGTTTAGGGTCCGGGTACCGAGAGAGAGAGACAGCCGGGGGGTTGGCAGACGATATCGTGCTTCCGGTTAACAAGGCCGCAAGCCGGCTAGAACTTGTTGTAAAAACGCTATCGTGCCCCCTGTCAAGAAGAACGCAAAGCGATTCGAACTCTTGCCTGTTGCTAAGAGTCGAGATACGGGGGTCGGCAGACGACATGAGAGAGTACGACGTACCCCCCCCCCCCCCCCCCCCCCCCCCCCCCCCCCCCCCCCCCCCCCCCCCCCCCCCCCCCCC